TTTTTATAGGGGAGTGTTCCCTATGTGTTGCTTTCAGGAAACTAGATGAGGTTGTTGACATAAAACCTTTAATTTTGAAACTCGGTTGCTCAGGGCGTATGTCGGAACACTGCTATGGGCACCGTAATTCCACGCTCTCGCTCGTCTGATCTCCCACACACACTCACTGAAACTCCGACTCCCGTTTTGCTTAATACACTAAATCTCCACCAGTTGGCGCCCACTGCGCATGCTCGAACAGTTTTCTTTTAAAGAAATAATTTACATAAAAGCCTTAAAATATAGGAAAATGCTGCCCCATTTTTATTAGATAGTACTATTTCCTTTTAAGTCTTTTTTTAAACAAAGAATATAAACAATTTTATAGGCCCCATAGTTCTTTTTTCACAGTTACATATATTCAATTGAAAAATCAAGCATCCAGATAAAAGCAGTCGTTTCATAGCTAACAGTACACATTTTTTTGATTCATTATTTAACGAAAATTGATATAAATTAATACTTATCTTTAAGAATAAAAGTTATATTGCGTTTTATGATTTATTACTAAATTATTTATTAAATAATAAATTCGTGCATTGTCTGTTTTCTTGAGAACAAAACTGGATTAGCTTTGTAAAAATTTTTAATTGAAAATAGAACCTTCAAAAAAAAAGATCTTATCCCTCGGGGAAAAAGGTGGTTTTATATTTGAAAAAAACCCATACAATGCTGGGCAGAATGGAGGGAAAAGAAGCATGTCTGACAAAAAGAAGAAGCGAAATAAATTACTGAAAAGGGAATTTAAATGACATAAACATAGAAATCAATCACATCGCTCAGTAACAACACACACACAGAAGTACTGGTGTCTAGAGAGAAAGGGAACATTTGCATGGGGAGGAAATTGTACCCACGGAAAAAGCCCTCGCAACGCCGAGCTAAGTGGCGAGAAAACAGACCCACCCGTCAGGACAAAGATTCCGAAGAAACTTCGAAAAAGAGTATTTTAATGGCATTAATATAGAAATCACAAGCACACCAGGAAGTGCTGACACTGAACGACAAGGGGAATCTCCCAACGCATAAGGCGTTGGAAGGAATGGGAATCTCCCACTTGAAGAAGCCCGTGCAACGCTGGGCCATCCAGCTAGTCTTTATATATAAAAATTACGTGTCACAGTGTTTGTCCACGATGGACTCCGAAACTACTCAACCGATTCTGACATAATTTTGCATATTGTGTGTCACTTCGCCGGACTTAAAATATAGGATAGTTTTTATCTCAATTTTTGATGTCATTATTTTTTTATCGTCGGAAATTCTAAAAATCCATGGAAACGGGAAAATTTTCGCGAAATGTCGGAATGCGTATGTCTACGGAAGCGGGTTTTGTGGACTAAGGTACATGGAAAGTCAGTGCCTCGTGTATTTGAGGTGGTGGAATCCGAATTTCGAATTGAATCCCCAAAATACCGTAACTTTGGCAGACAATGCCGGATGACCGTATTTTAGACACTTCCTGGCAGGGCTTTACATTAAAAGCCATGGAGCGTGAAAACGTGGTTCATGGCGTATTTTGAAACGGGCAATCTGAATTTGATATCCGATATAAGAAATCTCACGATTTTGCCGGATAATGCCGGACGACAGTATTTTAGAAACACCCTAGTAGGGGCTTATCTTAAAAGCCTTGGAGCACGAAAATATGATCCCTGGCTTATTTTGAGATAGACAATTTGAATCTGATATCCGATATGAGAAATTATCACAAATTTTCCGGATAATTCTGGGCGACAGTATTTTAGAAACACCCTTGTAGAGGCTTACTTTAAAAGCCTTGGAGCGCGAAAACTTGATTTCTGGCGTATTTTGAGACGGGTTATTTGAATCTGATATTCGACATGAGAAATTGTCGCAAATTTGCCGGATAATTCTGGACGACTGTTTATTTCGCGGACCGTGACAGGAGCTTTTTCAAATGGCTTGAAGAAGGAAAAGTACTATTTTAATCATTTTCAGGGTGGTGAACGAGAATCCGAAATCGGATATTAGAAATTTCCGTAATTTTGCCAGATAATGCCGGACAACCCTAATGCCCTTTCCGGCGACTGAACTTACAGGCTCAGGAGAGCCAAACGTAGTCCCCGGTTGCGTCTAGAGGTGAAAAACGAGAATCTGAAATCAGGTTTCAGAAATTCTCATAAATTTGCAGGATATTGTCGGAATTAGGTGGAATGGCTTCGCGTTCGAATCCCACTTAAGAATTTTTATTCCTTGTGGCGGCTGAATTTGCAAGCGCTAGAGCACCGAAATTCAATCCCTTGTGTGCTTCAAAGCGGAGAAGGAGAATTTGAAATCAGATTTTAGGCCTCCCTGTAACTTTTTATGGAATAACTAACGCCGGACGACCGTAATATTCGCGGAAAGTGGTGTCAGTTTAACTTACAGACGTAGGGACGCAAAAAGTCGGGTTCAGACGTATTTTGAGACGGCCTATTCGAATATTTAATCCATTCCGAGAAATTCCCATATTAGATAATGCCAGATGACAGTATTTAAAACGAGCCATGGCAGGGGCTTACCTTAAAATTCTTAGAGGGTGTGCAAAGTACGCTCCCGGTGTTTTTCTTGGAGGGGAACAAGAATCTGGAATCGGACTTAAAAAACTCCAGTAACTTTGCTGGATAATGCCGGGTGATAGTACTGCCCGTCGTCCCTTCAGGGATGGAGTTAGCAGGAGCAGGGGTGCCAAAAGTGGGCACTAGATGCATCTCGGGATAGGGAACGAAAATCTGAATTTGGATTTCAGAAATTCCCTTAATTTTTCTGGATATTGCCGGAATGATGTCAAATCGCTTTGCGTTCGAGTCCCCGCGCCTGTATTTTATTTCCTATAACTACCAAACTTTCAGGCGCAGCCTTACGAAAATATGACCAACAGAAAATTGCGTTGGCAATTGCATGTGTTCAGGCATTTCTACCACTTTGTTAAAGGGAGAACAAATGCACATTCAGCATTCCAGCTGCCATTAGACATTCATGAGAAACCTGACACAATGTATAATATTTAAAAAAGAACGGAATAGCTACGATATTGCAAAGGAGTTCAATAAAAATCTGCAATAGCCCACGAACACTCACTCGAAGCTTTACATGGAACTTTGTAAGATTTAAACGGCAACGATAAAATATTCGGTGGTGCTGTCCTATTATCATTTGGTGATTTCAGACAAACATTGCAAGTCGTTCCTCGCTCTGCTTTTGCTTACGAGATTAACGTAAGTTTAAAACAATCGTTTTTATGGCGAAACACTTGATTGGCCATAAACACGAGAGTTCAATTGCAAGATGATTAATCGGAGCAAATATTTTCCACCCAACTGCTGGATATTGGAAACACAGTGAAGTAGAGCTGCATCAAAATACACAATGTATCAACTTGACAGGCAATTTCTGTACTGTTGTTCAGTCAAAAAAGGAACTGATTGAGAATGTCTTTCCGGATATACTGTATAATTATCTAGGTAATGACTGGCTATGTAATCCTTTTACTTGGGCAGAAAAAAAATGTTGATGTTGACTGAGTAAACTTCCAGGTACAGAGATGTTGCTAGGTGATCTAATGCCTTTTAAATCAATCGGCACTGTTGTTGATGAAAACAAAACTGTATTATTTTTTAATTCCCTGGATATATTAGAAATGCCACCTCACAATCTTCGGTTGAAGATTTTGGCCCACTAGTTATTCTGCTGTGTAACCTAGATCAGGAGTGGGTAGACTTTTCCAGGGTACGGGCTACTTCTAATTTTTAAGGTGTTACGGTCCACCCAGGGGCGTAGGTGTAGTGAGACAAGAAAAATATCTTCAATATTTGTTATATTTTAATAATACATAAGGATTATGTACTCATCTGCATAACTACAATTAAAAAAACCCATGCTTTGAAAATCGCATTAAAAGGAAAATGCAAGCTACAAACATAATAATAATAGTATCAAATATAATATCAAATGATGCATTTATTAGCAACAATTCAAAATATATATTAGAAATAATTTCTTCTCGTAATTAAAGGCACCAGAAGCCTTAGTCTGCATACTGTCAACCAATCTTGAATATTTCCACATAAATTACTAATTGCTAATCTTCAGGTGATCACCTCAAAATGCCTTGGTGGTCCACCGGTTGATCGCGATCGACTTAATGCCTACCCAGAACCTAGATTATACAACAGTACACGTTTGGTTATCAAAAGAATTACCGGGAAGCTTCTTGAAGAAAATATTTTGACTATTACAATATAAAGGAGAAATCGTCCTGTTGCCACGTATTACACTGATACAATCGGAATCTACAATACCATTCAAAAGGCTTCAATTCCCAATTCGTTTGGCTTTTGCGATGACTATAAATAAATCTCAAAGCCAAACAATTTGAATTTGGGTCTTGGACTTAAAAAAAATTCGTGTTTCCCGCATGATCAACTATATGTTGCAAGCTGAAGTGTGGGGGGAAAATCAAATCTATTTTAGTTAGCAAAAGACAGGTTACCAAAAAATATTGTTCACCGATTAGTGATTATTTATATAAAAATTACTTATTGTTATAATTTAGAATGATAAAAATAATATTAAAAGTTGCTAAAAATAAAAAAGCGCTATTAACCTCCTTTATAAAATCAAATCTTCATATGTTGCTACTAACGACTTCGTAAATAATTCATTCATTATACTATACTCAAATAAAGGATGAATAAAATGCAAAGTTAAAAAAATTATGTTGTTTTATGCTTAAATTTAACTCTTCAAAATTGTAAGCCAAAAATAAATTTGACTGCATTGAGTAGCTTAGAATAATATCAAATCACAACGTATTAAAACAAAGCCACAGCAACGCGTGGCCGGGTCAGCTAGTGTATATATACATTGATTTATTAATTCTATTTAATTAACGAATAAATAGACAAACAAAAAGGAATAATCTAACACCATATACAAAAAGGAAAATCGCTTGTTGTGTACCTGTTGCACAATGGGTAGTGTGTGTGTGTGCGTTGGACTTCTAATCCAAAGGTCGTGGGTTCGATTTCCACTTGAGATGGCCTATTTTCTGAGAATGTTATTTCTTTTTACTGCACTATTTTATTGGAATAACTAAAATTAATGAATGAATAAATATATTAACAAAAAAAATATTAAAAGGCAACACACCCTATTAGAAAGGAAAATGAAAAATAGCTTACTATTTTGTCACTTAATATTGTGATTCTGTCATATGCATATATATATTTATATTAATTTTAACTATTTAATAAAAATTCATAAATATATTTTTTGTTTGTTGACCTAAGTAGGAATTGACTTTTATTTTTTTTATATTACTTATTTTCCGTATTAAGCTGCAAAACCTTTCTTCTAAAACATACAAGGCATGCAATTAGGGGTTGCAATACCGGTATACCGAATACCGGTATTTTGAACCATTTCTACAATTTTATAATACCGGTATTCACAAGTTTAAATACCAGTTTTCGGTATTTACGAGAATTTTTTAAAATTGTCTCCAATATGTTATGTTCAGGGATCGCCAACATAGCAAAATAGTATACGTTTTTGTGTTTATGTCTCCCTAACGGGCGAAATTAATTAGACTGAATATAAAGTTGCATCGTACAGTTAAGAGAAGTGATGAAATTTGTGAATCATCCAAAGAGGCGGTCCAAAACTATCCTATTGTAGCTCAGAGCGATACTGCACACGCGCTGGATTCGTAGTCTAATATTTGCATCTGGGAAAACAAGGTTGTAATTGTAAAGAAAGTGCGTAGTATATTTCGATGTTTTTTAAATTGGTGAGTTTGTTATTCATACTGTTTTTGTGTATATCAACCTTAAGTTTCCAAATATTTTTCAGATTCGTTATATATATACTCAACAATAATAACCCATAATAATGAATAACAATAACTTAAAAAACATAAAAAATCAGTTGATAATACATTGGTTTGGTTTCATTATTTATATTTTGAAAAGAATATAGCGGCACAGTTTAAAAATATTCAAGAGTTATTAAATTGAATGGAGGAAATACAAGCAAACTCCATACACATTTAAAAATGAAACATGATACAAATTTGTTAAAGATGAAAGAATCTAATTCCGATGAAGGTACAAATTTAAGCACAGTTTCTAAGTCCAAGTCATCAGGGATTTAAGATTATTTTGAAAACTAATCCTAGTGATGGAATGATTTTTGAAACTGAAAAATCCAATCCGAAAAGCAATGATTGACTTAAACCTGCAAATTAATTTTTCTGATAGTGATTTCGAAGTAATATCCATAACTGAATCAACTCTACTTCCAATAAAACTTGCTGTTGAGGCATTATGTTGGAGAGATTCTAAGTTATTAACAGCTAATGCAACAATAATTTTCATGTTGCAGTCGCTGAAGAACAGCGCTGTAACGTTTGAAAGAATAACGGTAGCGTATTCTTGGTTAATTTAAATATTGAATTTATTTACGTCACAACTATTGAATATTATTTACAGAATGATACATTACAGTTATTAAAGTTAATTATAGATTGTTAGAGTCCACTATTTTGTGAGAGGAGGATTCGTTGGCCACCGCTCGCGTGCAAGTTCAAAGCATCTCTCCTCTCATCTTCCGGTCGACGGGGCTAGATTCCTCGGGGGTCAAACAGGGGTTGCGTTGCAGCTGCAAGATGCACGTGTGGGTGTCGGGTCCACAAAGATGCCGACTCGATGTTGATGTTCAGAGAAGCGACGTTACAGCGCACATCACTATCTGAAGAAATGTGTATTACATTGAAAAATCACACAGAAGAAAGGCATGCCGAAATAGAAAATGTCTTACTGTATTTACATAATTATAAGGGCCGTGGGTAGCCTAGTGGTTAGAGCATCGGACTCCAGACCGGAAGGCCTGGGTTCGATGCTCGATGTCACCAAATACCCTCCGAGTGCACACGGAGTACGTGCTCGTTAAATCAGTGGGTCCGTAGTCTTGTGGGCTTATTCACTAGCGCAGGAGCTGGAGAATATTTCCCTCCCCTTCAGTTCACTTGCAGAAATTGTGGACGTGGAGATAGAGGTTGTGTCGCCATCTATCGTCCCTTCGGGGAAGTTTCACTGAGCTTAAATCGCGCTGTCACCTGTATGGTGCTCAAGGCCAACGACAGGCGTACCTCTTGCCCATGCCACGATGAATTTCGTGGGCCTCGTTCTGACTACGTCAGACAGGTGGCATTAGCCACAACAACAACAACATAATTATAATGATTTAAAAGTGAAAATGAAAAAGAAGAAAAGAAACTAACCAATTCAAATTTGATTAAATTTATAGTAACTTTTCTTTAACTTTTATATCCACAAACATATGCACATTCAGAAAAATTTGGTACAGTTATAGAAGATGATGACCCTAATGCTGAAAAATAATAGTTTCGAAGAATAATTAGAATTAGCAATAACTAAAAATTTTCAACAAACCAAAACACAATACAGAGAAATCAGCTACATCCAAAACCATCCAAAGAGAAATGGATTTATTTGAAGATGAGGGATTTAAAGGAAAAAAACCTGAAAAAAGTATATTGCTCTTTGCTAACAGTGCCACCAACCAGCGTAGATGTTGAAAGAACGTTTTCGACAGCTGGTAATTTTTGCACAAAATTACGTCCCAGGCTTAATGGCAGTAAAATTGATGCATTACGCTTTTTAAGATCACATTTCAAATAGTACAAATTTGTAATAGTACCACAGACTGAACAGGGATATTTATACTATTTTGTGATTTAAATAAATACGATGTTCCTTTACTTTTTGTGATTCCTTGTGTACTGTTATAATTTATAAGTTTCAAATTATTTTGTGATACTTACACTATAACAAAATTGAAATATGAAACAAAGAGAAACACCTGCGTTCCCTTTCTTTTTCTAAAATTTCTACTATCGGTATTAGGATCTAAAAAATACCGAAAACACCAGTATTGAACTTTTGATTTGATATTGCACAATCCCTACATACAATGTCTATAGAAAATTAAAAATTTATAAAACAATTCGAAAGACTTGTTTCAAAAGATCCTTGGGATAAGAGCATATTTTATTTTATCGCAATAACATAATACCTATTGCTAAGAACAGGAAAGCAAGCACATTAGAACAAAAATTATCTGCTAATAAACATATTTAATTTACTAATTTTTTCGAGTTCTTGAATTTAAATAAAAGTTTATTTCTAATTGAAGCTCGCACTGAGATAAAGATTCTTTAAAAGCTTTAATGAGATGATATCATTTTGTTACAAATACGTTACTCTTGAGTTTACTACATTTTCACTAGCATCTTTCCCAGAGGCTCAGTTATAGGACTAAGCTATTAGTACATAATAGTCGATCATTATTAACTGTCACATTAGTCGAGCGTTTCTATTCAAGTTTCCTGTCTAGTCTCTGCACATAACACAGCCTCGTTCGCACAAATTCGTCTGTTAGGATTCGAATTCATTAACAGAAGCACTATGCAATGTAGTTAAGACTAACTATTAAGGAGAGTAATCTCAAATTCAAATATACAGCAACACTGAACACTTTACCTTAAGCATTCTATGGTTATTAACAAACGAATGTTTGATTAATGTATATATATATGCTACATATTGTACAAAATGTGTATAATATATATATATATATATATATATATATATATATATATATATATATATATATATATATATATATATTCTACATAACAGATCAGGATGAAATTCTGATACTGAAAATAAAGAACAATAAATCAATATGTTTTAAAAAGTCAGTTGTCTAAAATTGAAAACTATTCTATTTCCTAAAGCTGTCACTGACTTAGTGTTGCCAGATATAAAAGTTCGAGAAAAAATTGAAGAAATTAAACCAAGATTGTGTGGGAAAAACACTTAGACCTAAAATGTTCAGGTGTATTAGAACATTGATCTACTAAATAATAAAATTTAAAAAACTACTAAAATGTAAAAGTAAACATATAAAAGGTGAGGAATAGTGCAACTTTAAATTTGATCACTTTCGGTTTCGAAATCCATTGAATAATTTTATTTAACTAGTAATTAAATTAAACGAATTTCTTTTTGTAGTTAAGTACGAGTATTAATCTGTTATGTGACTCAATATTTTTATTAACAACGCTCTGTGTATGGGCCATCATGCCTCAGCTTAATTAGAGCGATAAATTATAAGGAGCATCACAGAGATAAAAATATATTAAGAGCTTTAGTCGTGGAAAAAGCATTGCAAATATATTTTAAATTTAAAAATTAATTTCAATTACCTTTTTACTTTTTAAAAAAATGTTGAAAACTAATATGTTTTTTAAAAAAATATTTACCCTGCTCAAAGCAGAATGATTCAATGTGACAAAGGTAATATTTTCCATTGCTACAGTAACGTTTTCAGTTATTTAACTTGTGAAAAAATGGAGACCGCAATGAATAAGAAACGTTAGGGTCGCTTATTCACAATTTTGAATTAGCTGAGACAAATGTATGAACTTAAAAAGAAGGAAGCGGAAAAAAAAGAAGAAAATAAACGAAAGAAAAACTTCCATTTTTAAATCTGAAAGAAAAATAAAACACCCACCTCAGCAAAAATACTGTCAGAAAAGCCTTGAAAACTCTTTTACTTTTCACTCAAAGAAAAAAAAAAAAAGAATCGTTTTCAAACTTTTAAAACTGAAAAGAAAAATGAAAATAGAATAGAATAAGGAACGGAAAAAAAAAGTTCTAGAATTTTTAGAGTTGGTCTTACTGTTCATTAGCCTTTTTTGTGTTAGTCTTTGGGAAAGAAGGATTGCGCCACGCGCCTTTTAGGACCAAATCACAGCGTCTTGGTTACGCGGAAGCAAAGAATTCCGCTTTTGTGTTGAGAATTCTTTTTTTTTTTCTTTTCACATGCGGTGGTTTTCGTTTTTTTAATGCAGTATTTCTTTTGAAATTTAGAGTACTTTGAAATGTTCCTGCATGGGGGTCGGACGAAAGTTTTTGGGAGGATAAAGGTTTTTCGAAAAACTCATTATTCGGT